CAGCAGCAGCAGCTTCCACCGCCTCTCCTGCCCCTTCCTACCCCTCCACACCCCTTCTCCTCCGCTTCTTCATCCGCCGGGGTCTCAGGAGCCGGAGGGGTTCCTATAGTGACACCGGCCCACCTGCCTGACAGCACTACAGACAGCTGGTCCATCTACTACAGCGCCCAGAGGCAGGATGGCATCGGGAAGCCCTTCAGCAGCAAGAATACTCATCTCAAGCAGCGATGCAGGGATTATGATGGTAGGAGTTGTTTATGTTTTTTTTTGTAAAAAGAGGGAACACTGTAAAGCTTTTTTAAAATGCCTAATAATTTAGCATCATGTGTAGTTGCTGTTTTGTTTTCCCTCAGAGGCCCTTGTTGGACCTCTTTACTAATGACCACTGTTCCCAATCAGTCCTTTGTCCCCAGTGAAGGTGGCAAAGCACTAGGCTTTCTCTGCATAGACACTAGAGAGTTTAAACTTAACCCCTGTCCCTGAAGCGCACTGCTGTCACAGTACTCAAACAGCCACTGGAGATTCAGTGTTCTAATGAGGCTGTGGGATGAATGTACACTGGGCATGTTAAACATGTATTCCTCTTTAGTTATATTTCATTTTTTTAACTGGGAGGTTTTAATACTGTTGTGGTAGATTTTTAATGACTGGATGGATAAAGTGATGTACTATATGTTTTGGTCACTCTTGCTTAAACAGAAAAAGGATTCTGTGTCCGTGGAGACCTTTGCCCCTTCGATCACGGCAACGACCCTCTCATCGTCGACGACGTCACCCTGCCCAAAATGATTCCTTTCCCTCCTCCTCCCGTCATGCCTCCTGCCGGTTTGCCTATGCCCCCGATCACTGAGCCGCCCCCCTCGCTCAGGTTACCTGTGATGCCCCCCTACCCCCAGCCACCGCCACCAGGTGTCTTCCCGATGACAGGTGAGTTTCAGTGAAACTTGAAGGTCGCAGTGTGTGCGTTCCATTTTCCTCCCAGAAAAAGTTTTCAGAGCTGTAATATTTGGTCCCCTTTTTGTTACATTTCCAGAATTATCTACTAACATTTTTTTATTACAGTTAAATTATACGTTTTCTTAAAACTTTAGACCCTCTTACATCTGAGACATTAGCTTTGGCTTTTGTCTTCCCCAGGACCCCCACTGATAGCTACCAGTGGGATCGATACCCCCAACCATCAATCTGCAATCACTTCTTCTCCCCCCATTGGACCACCCGGAGTGGGGCTCCCACCTACTCTTCCTCCTCCTCCTCCTCCTGTTCCTCCTCAGCCTCCCTCCTCGTCTTCATCTGTGTCTCTGAGGCCCCAATATGTCCAGTCTGAATGTAAGCAGAAATGCTTCGCCTCTTCAGATCGGGACTGGGTGGCTTTTTGTTTCAGTTTCCCTTCTTTATCTCTCCTTTATTTCCATTTGGTAACTTTTCTTTACATACAGTAGATTTTATTGCATAAAAATAATTTGTTTTTCTGTCGTGTATGAAGGCATCTTGGTTGTTGGGTGTTTTTTTTTTCCAGTTGTTGCTGTTTTTTTTGTTTTGTTTTTATCATTGTAGTAACTACTGTTGGCCATGGGGTAGTGCTGTTTATTCATCTGAAAGACAAATACACTATTCTTATTACCAGGTGCTTTGCTGCTTCCATATTTCAGATTAATAATCAAATTTTCTCCCATTTGAACTTTTTGGCCATTAGAAGGTTTTTATTTTAACCCTTTAAATTGAACTAATTAATGTTTTTGTATTCTAATGAATATTATTTTTGACTTTATATATAGGTTATTCTTTTGAAGTTTGGGCATATATGGTTTTCAAAGTTTTACCCTTGAAAATAGAATTTTACTCTGCATGTTGTTGCAGGTTTTAGTATTTAGTATATATATTTGACTCTTTTATTGTTCGATTTTGTAAATTTGTGTTTTATTCATTTTAGATAACTATGATCCAGAAGGCTACAACCCAGAATCCCCAGGACTGACTGGTGCAGGCCGTAATTCTTATCGCCAGTTTATCCCCAGAGTCCAAAGCCAACGCTCTAACCTCATTGGTCTCACTTCTAGTGAAGGACAAGTTTGCAGAGGTAAAAACCGTTTCCGCTCCAGGATCAGTGACCAAAAAGAGACACAGACAGTTTTTTAGCTGTTCTTGTAGATTAAAAT